GGAGGGTTTCTCGTTAACTGTTCAAATGCGTTTCCGTCGTTTGTCATCAAGCATCTCATGGTCTTATTTTGAGTTTCCACCTCTACGCCTAGTGGCCCGTAATCGGCACCTCAGACCTCTTGAAGTGAAGGTTTCTAGGGCGCCCATCATAGCAAGGACCGAGTTCTGGCCTAACTGCCGGCGACACAGCCCCCCGACGGCACGGGTATGACCCGCGGAGTCCGCAAAACCGGACGAAATGGTGGAACACATATGGACGTCGGGTCCGCCGTTGGCTGCTTGTTGTCTTGCAAGATGTCCGTGAGCTCTTCGAGCCGTCAACTTTACTCGGAAGATTGTTTCAAGCGTTTCCAGCGAGCTCGGGGTCTGTGTGTGGCGCGGCCAATCTCCTTCTCCCTTTGCATGTTGTCCATAGGCGTCTGATGATTGCGTGTCTTAGCGGGCGAAGCGTGTTCGTGTTCAAGAAGCCCACGGCGACGCCGTCCAAAGCTGCTTGACGAACTGCCATTATATTTGTATGGCATAGCTTTCTGATTGGGACGATGACGAGAGTCTAGGAATCGGATGAGGACCGGGGGGTGGCGAGAAGGGCAGGAAATATGTTGTGAAGTATTGTATATAGGGCTGACGTGCCTTTAAGCTTCGTCAGACAGGTCGATTCTTCATAATTCAATGTAAGGCGAGTAGTGAGAGAGACAACGACAAGAATGTCATTTGTCGATTTCATTCGAGACACGACCGCGTGGAAGGTGGTTCGTATGGTAACGAGAGGCGGGTCTCCTGCGTTCCAGTACTTTGACGAGCGACATCCTTTGATACGCCAACGATACATCGACAAGAGTTCCAACCGAAATGCCTCCGGGTAAGTAGAGATACAGACTTGCAGGTCTGACTTGGTGGTGACTCTCGATGTTAGATTATCCTATGCGTCAAGGCATACCGAGGTCCGGGGACCCTCACTGGACTCCGAGAAGGGCATAGGAAACACCCTTGCCAGCCAGACGATAAGCCGCACGACGTGGGACAAATATGGAATTGAGAACCGCACAGGCTTACATCTCGTCGAGTTCTTGCCAAACGATCCAGAGGTACCTGCCACGGCGATCCACTCACGCCCTTCACTTGATTGCTAAGTCTAGGTGGTAGAATCCGCGAAACTGGTCCAATTCAAAGAAGATCCTGGTTAGCTTCCAGCTATGCCTTCTCGTCGTCGCTGTCTACGCGGGAGCGTCCATCTACACCGTTGGCACCGAAGGCATTCAGGCGCGTTTCGGCGTTTCAGACACCGTCGCTCTCCTGGGATTGACGGTCTTCGTCCTGGCATACGGCATTGGTCCCGTGAGTACCCGTCTCAGCGCCCGCGGCCCTTATACAGCACTGATCAAACAAAGATGGTCTGGAGCCCGCTCTTTGAGGTCCCCCGAATAGGTCGAAACTCCATCTTTATCCCCGCGCTCGTCGTCTTCATTCTCGCCCAGGTCCCAGCTGCGCTGGCCACCAGCATCGGCATGCTCCTTATATTCCGATTCATCGCCGGTTTCTTCGGTTCCCCGATCCTGGGGTCCGCGGACGGCATCCTGACGGACATGTACGAATCGCGGAAGCACACCTACGCCATTTTGGGCTTTGCGCTCGTTGCCATCTGCGGGCCTACATTAGGCAAGCCCAGGCTCCATCTCTGTATGCTGTGTTGCTGAACTAACATACCAACAGGCCCCATCATTGGAGGCTTCGCGGTCCAGATTAAAGGATGGCAGTGGACCATGTGGATCGTCTCCTGGGTCAGCACTCTCGTGCTCGTGCTCCTGGTCTTATTCCTCCCCGAGACGAGCGCCGACAACATCCTCTACCGGCGGACGATGCGGCTTCGCAGGGCTACTGGCGACCAGGGTTTCGTCTGCGAGGCCCAGCTCAAGGCCGACAACAGACGAGGCGTCGAGCTCCTTAAGGCGCACCTCATCCGGCCCTTCACGTTGGTGCTCACGGAGCCCGCCGTCTTGTTTCTCAACCTGCACAGCTCGTTCACGTACGGGCTCATGTACATATGGTTCGAGACCCTGCCGCTAGCCTACAAGGAGATATACCACTTCGACATCGGAATGGCGACTCTTTCTTTGCTGGGCCTCATCATCGGCGTGCTGGTTGCCGTCCTTCCGTTCTTCCTCTACTACCGGATGCGTATCGAGCCCAAGTACGACCGCGACGGCAACATCAAGCCGGAAAAGCACCTTCATCTCGCCATGATCGGATGCTTGCTCTTACCGGGCAGCCTGCTCTGGTTCGGGTGGACCGCGAGATCCTCGATCCATTGGGCGGTCCCCATCGTCGGCTCGTCGTTCTACACTGCTGGCGCTGTGATGTTGTACATTTCGATTCTGAACTACCTCGCGGGGTCGTATCCGGAGCACATTGCCTCCGTTTTTGCCGGGCACGAGCTATTCACCAGCATGTGCGGGGCGACTTTCCCCCTACTCATCCCACCAATGTACCACAGGTTTGGCGTCCTCGGATCGAGCATGATCTTGGCCATAATCGCCATGGCATTCGTGCCTATTCCCTATATAATCGCCATGGTGAGAACCCCTTCGAGCATCATATACCTGGATCGAGCTAACTCTGCAGCAGTGGGGCCCCAAGCTCAGGAAAGATAGCAGTTACGCAGCGAAGGGACTGTGATGCATGAAGACATTTCGATAGAGGGGTGCGAGATGAAGAAGACATAATGAAAGCGTTTTGCTATGTTATATTTGAAAGAAAACTCGGTCGATCTACTACGCGATATGTTTCGTTTTAACATGCTGAGAGATCAGCAGTGAACTCAGGTGTATTGCCAAGAGGCGGCTGCCGACGACCGATGCCGCTGTCAAGTTGGTGCCGAGTATCATTCAGGATGTCGGTAAGCAGTTGTCGAGCTCGGTTGGCAATTCCCTCGGTTTGGTGTTGATCATGAGGGATAACACTGTTGACTTTGTCCTGAGTACAGCGAAGGACATCAATGAGAAGGTGAATATGACCTTTAAAGATGTCATCTAGAGGCCCGGAATGGTCTTCAGGACTGTCAGATTGCCACTGACCATGACCAGTGACATCTACAGAGAGGGATTGAGTATAGCCTATGGCTCCACCAGGCAAATGTCGTCCAAGCCTGAACGCATCATTGAGTTGGTGCTGAGCGGTTTTGAAGGCATCAATGTCACGCTGACGGCGATGCTCCAAGCCAAGACGTCGAGCAGGGCTGCCAGCCTCAACTGTTTGGCTCCTCCGAGTAGGGGGGGTCGTCATAAACGTATCTTCCTCCGGGTTCCGGCGTCGTAGAGGGGTAGCGCCGTAGATGTCATCATCGTCCCGATTCTGTGCTTTCTCCTTCATGCGGTTAAGTCGTTGTTGGGCTGCCTCCCATTGTTCGCTTTCAACCATCTCAATGTCATCACTGGCTGACTGGTCTTGGTTTGCAGGGACTGGTGTTTGGGGTCCACGTTGCTAGGTAGGTAGTTGTCAAGAAGGCTCACTTGCCAGACTCCATCAAACTCAGCGCATCAGCTCACCAAGTCTTACGCATGACGGGTGATTTCTCCATTCTTGAGGACAACGGTTGCTGGGGAATGATGGTCCGAGCGCTCTGCCATGTTCTTGAGCGCGATGTTGTAATACTTTGGAACACTGGTCGGCTAGTCGACGTAGAAAGGTTGAGCTACTCGCTCGGACCTCAGAGCGCGTGCTGCCTTGCCGCTTGTCGAGTCTTGGGACTGATAGATGTTTACACATATTGTGTTTAGCTCCAGTTCCATGGTGGTGAACTCTGTTCTGAGAGAGGCCACGCGGACTGGCTTATGATCGAGAGGATAGGCCCCTGGCTGCCTTCCTGTGATGAGGCCACTGAACTGCCAAGAGGTCGTTAGTTGGTAAGTTCGGTAGGCAAGGCAAAGTGGTGGAAACCTTGAAATCAATGAGGTACCTTTGGCAGAAGCGACTGGAGCAAAATTGAAGCCTGGTTTCAAGAGGCGAGCTTCGAATGAATTCGATCATGAAGATTGGTGTTTCTGTGGAGGATCAGGCGAGGGGCGAACCGCACGCCTTTAACCATCCATAGAGTAATGGGGTAATGATGATTGAAGATTCCGACTATGACCCTTGATGGTGTGTGGCGACACTGGCTGTCATAGTGAATGGCGAAGCGAAGCTGATGATAAGTGCCAACTTGTTATAGATGGGTTCTGCAAGCCGGACTGGTGGCGTAGACAAAGTGAGAAGGGAAAGAAGGGGGGAAAAAATTGGCCAGAGAAGGAACAAATAACACACTCTCTCTTTATCCCTCTTGCCCAGCCGATGCCTTCAAGCCCCTCGAGGAAGGAGGGTCGGCACGTGATCTCCTACACCGACTGCACCCGACACACGGCCCCACTATTTCCGGGCTTCACGGCCGGCCGCCTTGCCGATGTCTCGGTGTGCTTCACCTGACTTGCGGCGTAGATGATTTACTTCCAGGAAAATTTGGTTCTGCCGCAACATTGTACATATGAAAAGATTTGTGAATGGTGTGCATTCCTAGGCGGTCTTGGAAAACAGGGACACAGAAATAGCCTGACTCACCGAGTTACTGTGGTGTATAGTTCCAATGAGACTCATGTCAGGTGTGTCATTATAAGCATAAATGAACAACTCATCTTCAGAGACTCTTGAATTTCATCCTTCGCATTCTCTTTGTTTTATCTTCTTTGCTGAAGGTGCGTTGTGCGGCTATAAATCTGAGTTCATCTCATGGAACATGCCTCACATATGTCGCATTTAGAACCAAACCCCAGTCCCAACAAACACGCACGCTCCCGCCCTGACTCACTAGTGGGGCTCGTCACTTCCGGATTGGGACTAGTACATATGCCACCTGTTCCGCATTCCCCTCTTTGCCCAAACTCGCCCCCCAACACCAGAAAATGCTCTTCCACCCATGCAAACCTACATATTATCAAAACAAACGACAAACAGCAACAAATAAACCACCTGGTGGAGTGTCCGAGTGGTTAAGGAGCTGTGTTTAGGTAATCATCATGATACCGTAAATCCGCAGTGGGAAACCGCGCGAGTTCGAATCTCGTCTCCATCAAGTCTACCTTTTGCCTTTTTGCATCAAGGCTGGGGGTTCTGTGCTGTGTACGGCTGCTTCATGAGTTGGACAGGCTTTTTGGGCACTGTTCAAACCAATGAAGAAAGTGTTTCCACTGTCAATGAGTCAGTGTTGCTGTACAGTCATGTAATGCAGTTGCGAGATACTCGACTCGGCATGTCACATACAAAGCCGCCAGTTTTTCAATGTTGATGCAGCAAACGCGCAGTTCAGTCTCAGTTGATTTGCGAAGTGCGACATTTGTTCCCCCTTGAAGAAAAGTAAATCTTGCAAAGCGTTGAGGGCCAATGCCAACTCCAAATACGCGCCTGAGTCGGTCGTATAGAGGTAAACATTTGACACATGCACCGGTATCAACAACGACTTGCAAACATCTCGCCAGCATCTTCAAAAACAGGGTAAATCGAATCAACGTCACAAGCTGCAGAGAAGGCCAAGCAAAATGATGGTTGAGTCATGTTCGTCACCTTGAGAATCTCGATGCGGCTGGATTGAAGGTGTCAGCTTTCAGTGGTCCGCAGCCGACACTTTCGGTCTCAGCACGCTAAACGGTGTAACTCCAATTGGCCAAAGCTTGCAAGCTCCTTTCTTCACAACCTTGCCCGATTTTTTTATTTCTTATTTTTGGAGGGGCCATGTCGACCAGACTCACACCGCGCTGTCCACTTGACTCCTCCACCTCCCAACCCGGCGAGCAGACCGAAATACCACTGGACACGAAACAAAGCTAGGCAAATTTCCTATCGATCCTCCGACCATTATAAATATAGGAAACAAGCACCCCCCCCCCGGGAACCAACTGCCAACGACCGCCGGTATGCCACTCGACGACGACGACAACCCTACGGCGGCGCCGGCCGCCCAGCTCCAAAACGACTCGGGCGCAGGCGACGAGGCCGAGGACGAAGGGCTCTTCGACATGCGCCTCTTCGCCTCCATGTTCAACAAGAAGGGCGTCGCGAGCCAGGCGGTTCGCAGGGGCCAGAAGGACTTTGAGTCTCACGGCACGCGCGCGCAGGAGGACGCCCTCGAGACGAGCAGACGGGTCATCGAGGAGGTGCTCGCGTACTCGCGCGTGCACCGCGACGCCTGGAGCAAGGGGTGGTACTTCCCCGACTACTGGGCCGAGACGCTGCGGGCCATCGAGGAGGACGGGGACGCGTCCGGGCTCGCGAGGCCCGAGTACCTGCGGGAGTTCCTGGCTGAGACGGGGCCGATATACGCAAAGGAGCGGGTCGTCGTCGTCGAGGACCTCAAGGGCACGCAGGCCAAGTCGATGGGCCGGGTCATCCGGGGGCTCAAGGCGCCGAGGCCGGCGGTCGGGAAGCTGTGGCTGCTGCCCGAGGAGGCGCTGTTCCTCGTCGAGAGGGGCAGCCTGGACCTCTGGTGGCCGTTCCGGGAGCTCAAAGACGTCTTGCCGCCGCCATCAGAGGGCAAGGCCGCGGAGGAACACGTGCACGATCCAGAGCAGACGAAGGCGGACCCCGGCGAGGACTCGGACGACGAATTCGAAACGGGCGTGCCGCTGAGCTTGCAGGCCGCATACGCCTTCTTCATCGGTCTGAACGGCGAGCGGGGGAAGATCACGCTTCCGAAATATCAAGTCTACGCTCACCTACGGCGGCTGGGATACTACGTCCAGCGCGCACCGCCCGACGCAGCCGATGCCGCGCGTCAATCACAAACCGCAGGGAAGTCGTTATGGCAGTGGCTCGTCTCCCTCCTGGACAGGCCCGCGCCCACGCCGCCGCCCTACGGGCCCCTCGTCAGGCCGGGCCTCTACCGCCAGTACACCCACGTCTACAAGCAGCTGGAGCTCCTCGCGAGGTACAGGCCCTCGCCCGCGGCGCAGGAGCCCGCGGCGCCCGAGGACCCGTACAAGGTCCACTGGCACGTGTGGAAGCCGTCGAAGCACCCGAACCTGCGCGTGACGGACCTCCCGCCGCCGGACATCCGCATCGCCGTGGCCGACGCGCGCGACGACGCGGTGCCGTCACTGGAGGAGGTGGCAGCCCTGCTGGACTCGACGCCGTACGACCCGCCCGACCCGAAGACGACGGGCGGGCCGGGGAGGCTGTACCAGAGGCTCCGGCACGGGCACCGCAACGTGCTGATCGCGGTCGTGGACCGCGGGCTGGTGAACTTTATGAGGTTCGGGCAGGCGGCGTTTGGCGAGGAGACGCTGTACGAGAGGTTCGACAACCGGGGCGGGATCCGCGGGGGTAAGAGGGGTGGCAGGGGCGGACGGGGGAGAGGGGCCGGCGGAAGGGGGAGGGGGCGTGGCCGGTGAGGCGAGCGGACTGAACTCCGGGAACCCCGGAACGGTCGAGGGGCTTGTGCGTTGCAAGAGTGGACGGCGTTCATGGGATACCCAAACGAAGATGCATAGAATCATAAACACAACTAGGTAGAGAGCTTCGCAGCTCTCGGTGGGGGTATTAGGGTTGGCCCGGCTGGTAGGCATGGATCTCCGCTGTCGAGTGTAGTGCATACAGCATTCGAAGAAAAGGAAAGTAAAAAGAAACGAGCATACTGCCAATCATGTGCCCAAGAGCAGTTTCAAACCGGGAGTCTTCTTTGGCTCCGTGACCCCGACTTTGCCGACTATCCGAGTTGAGGGCTATGGATATATCTAGCGTTTTTGTGTGTGCTTACATGTGTGCGTGTATGTCTAGCCGGGCCTATAATGTAGATCAGTTGAAGACTAAGTGCAAAATCAAAGATGTCTCCGGGTTCTCGCTGCACGATCCGTCGCAACACTTACTCGCCGACCAACTCTACCGCGTAGGCACCCACAACTAAAACAAAGTAAGCCCGCGAAAAGGCCCGACGTCGTCTGAATAGGCTCTCTAGACTTGGTAGTAGCGTCAAACAAAGACAACGAAGGAGGTGGCCTTTGACCTGGGCGGCGACGCAGGTGGTTGGTCGGCGGGCAAAATAGAAGAGAAGCCCACGACGGGGTCGGCTGACGATGTGGGAGGCCGTCCCATACCACTCCGAAATCGATTGCATGCCCCCGTGTCCCCAGGGAAGGGTAAAATCTGTACAGCGCGCGGAAAGAGTAGGCGCTGCGCCGATAAGCATCAAGGCGGCGGTGGTATTTCGGCCACTCGTAACTGAACTCTAGGTATGTTTTTAACCCCCGTTGTCAAGGGTGTGCCTCTCTGGGCCGCGAGTGCTGTCTACAGGTATGCCAGGTTGCAGGGACTGCTTCAATGGCGCGGAGATTCAAACCCGAATGACGGAATACGTCTGTCAATGTCGAGCGGCATATTCACAGCGACCATTGACACGCGGGACCCCGTTGGGACGCGGACAGAGGACAGTTTTCGGGGTCGGAGTGGGGGCCGGATAGTGTGGGGACATGTCGGCAGCCATCAGTCGCGAAATACCTGCGCAGTACGGAGTATCCGTACGTGCAAGTGAAACAGCATATCGCACTATTAAAGGTCGTGCAGCTGCCGAAGGGGTATGTCTATTGGAGCCATTTATAATGCTGTACAGTGTTGATCAGGAGGGGGCTCAACTCTGCTGTCACATGAAAGCAATGACTGCAAGGACAAAACAAGCTTGATTGGTGTGTGCAAAGCTGATGGCGGGAGATGTAATGTGGTGTATGGTGACAGGGGGACGCAAAGCATCGGATTTTTTTTTTTTTTGCTCAACCTGGCAACTTGTCAAAGCCAGTCAACGAGTACCTAAATCCCGGGGTGGCAGCAGACGTTGGTTGGCTGGACGGTAATGCCCCGAGAAATACCCAAGAAGCCAAAGACACGGGGAGGAGTCATATCACGGTGAGACGGGCTGGGGGCGGCGGTGACGGAAGGACGGTGAGAAGGGTTCTTTGCCAGAGCCATCCTTAGTTACTCACAGGACGAAGGACGCTGACCGCAAGAGCCCCCGAACAGAGATCCTTGCTAGGCCGGGCGCGACGGTGTGGCATGTCTGTCTCTCTTTCGTATATACCGGTTGCTAATGGCCGCGCGAGCGATAGTGAAGTAACCAACCCCTCGCAGAGGACCGCACATGCAAGTCCCGCCAGCCAGGGTCGATCAGGCGCCGGCCAAAATGAGCGCCTGTTAGATATGATTTCGCCTATGCCTTGCCACCACGTCTACGGAAAGCACATACTTGCGTGTCGGTGGAATGACGATGTGCATGGCGCGATTAACTCGGAGAATGCCATCATTGACTTCTCGCCTGCAGCAGCAGGAGCAGCAGCAGCAGCAACACAGGCTTTTTGTGACCATGTTCCCCGAGTTCCGACAATAAAAAGTTTCTGGCTGGAGTGGTGCGCATCTCCAACGTGGGTTGAGCTTCACTAGGTAGCATAAGCAGGGGCTTGTGCGCAGAGAAACCTGACGAGCCTAAAAAAAGACAAAAACAAGAAAACGAAGTGAATCAGCACGAGTCTTTAGGAAGCCAATGGATGCAGCGACTGATCCATGTTGGTGACTCGAAAAAGAGAAGGAAGAAGAAAAATGTATGCGACAACAGCAGGGTTCGAACCTACGCGGCCGAAGCCAACAGATACCTCAGAATAAGCTGATCAACGATCAGGTCAGTTCAAGTCTGTCCCCTTAACCACTCGGGCATGTTGCCATTTTTTGTTGAGTTGTTTCCGATATCTTGACTCCAAGTATGCTAGATGCGGGATGTGTGGGTCCTGATGTGGAGACATTCCCACAACATGGGTCTCTATAAACGATAGTGAATTTTAATTGGCCAGAGACTCCTTGGAGTTGTCTCTTCCTGCTTTCCACACACCACACGAGACAGAAGCACAGAGGCAACATCAGGTTTACACAAGTCTTGAATACAGTTAATACTGACTGATACTTTCCTACGTTCGTTCAACGTGCACACATGCTTCCTGCTGTCGCCATAGTTTCGCTGTTTCCGGCGGCATCCAATGTCTCACCCGGCCTACCCGGGCATGCACCGGAGTACTTGGTGACTATAAGGGCACTTTAGAGTGA